GGAGAGAGAAGATGTTCTTTGCCTGTATTCTTAATATGAGACTAAGCAAGGTCAGGAAAGGGGGGCAAAGGCAGCTGAAGCAGAAGTCACCAAAACCTACTTCAAATGAGAGACCATCAGGAAGCTCTGCATAGGCCACAGCTGGAACAGCTGCTGCAGAGACATAAGAAAATAAGAGAAGCCAATGCTGGATCAGGCCAATGGCCCATCCAGTCCAACACTCTGTCACACAGTGGCCAAAAATACCAGGTGATATCAGGAGGTCCAGCAGTGGGGCCAGGACACTACGAGCCCTTACACTATTGACTCCCCCAGCACCAAAAATACAGAGCATCACTTGCCCCGGAGTCCCTATCTATACCTTATGGCTAATAGCCACCAATGGACCTCTGCTCCATATGCTTATCTGATTCCCTCTTGAAGTTGTCTATGCTTGTAGCCGCCACCACCTCCTGTGGCACCTCCTTAGCAAAGACAACGCTCAAAGATAGTTCAAGAAGCTCTTACCCTATCGATCAGTTGGATGGCAACGAAAAGCCTCGTGAGAAGGACGACATCTTCTCAACTCATTTCGAGGACTCTCAAAGTCACCATGGGGGAAAAGATGAGCATTTCTCTGAACCACGGTCAAATTTAAACGTCAGAACTTCTCAGCATGGAAAACATGCTTTTGGGCATGAAATAGTCAGGCTTTATAAACATTCCCTGACCTACTGTGCTATAGGAGAAGGCCCATTTCTTGCTCCCCTACACCCAGCTCTATTTTCACTACTACTAATAGTAGCCTTGGTTGGCCATACATTATTCACACATTTTCTTGCAGGTTCAGTATAGTTCTTATCCTTACAAGTCCTTGGTAAGCCAGACCCATATCCTTGAATGATCATCTTATCTCCGGTTATGAACTAGTGGGTCAACTTAGATCTGCCCACCTATCTTTTCAGAGTGTCCCCTCCACTGGGAGAGTTTGCTTTGCCCCTAAGATTACAAGCCTGCTCTGATTCACCTTCTATTTTACAGAATACCCTGCCAGAAGTAGTATGAAAGATTTCTTCTCTGCTAGCCTTTAGCAGGACATCCAAAATACTTTAAATTCAGAGACCTTTTAAATGATGTTTGAAGAGTATCATTTGGAATACTGATCTGATTTTGAGCAGCCATTACTGAATACGGATTTTTACACATGCATTTAACGCTTCTTTGTAAGTCGTTATGAACCTTTGGGACAGCAGGTTTGATATTTAAATTATTATGGCTCAGTTGTTTCAAGAGATAAAATATACCTAACCAGTGTACTGTTTTTCATTATATCCAAAAGCATACAGATAGCTGATAAACTTAACTACATTATTAGCTCGCAACAGTTTAAACAGGCCACTATATCCAGGTAACTCCATGTCCTTTTGAAACTGCACTCATCCTGACAAGAATGACACTTTAAAATAATTACCCACACTCAAGCTGACTTCAGAAATCAGCTTTAATTTAGCTGAAATAATTCAGCAAAATTAAACCACTTGCTTTAAAATAAGGATTTTAGTCTGTTTTACTCAGTTAAAGCGTTTCAATGCTTCTGATAGTACGCTGCCTTTGCACATATACTTGTTCCCTGTTTAGGACCTTTTGCCAAGCTGTTACTATCACCATCTATTGTTGATTTAGTGCAAGCAGTTTGCTAAGTACAATATAAACAAGTAATACTATTCCTATATAAAGGGGTTAGTCTACATTAATGGTAAAGTTTCCCTTGCTCGAAAGCCAGTCGAATCCGACTCTAGGGTTACAGTGCTCATCTCCGTTTCAAAGCCGAAGAGCCAGCGCTGTCCGAAGACATTTCCGTGGTCATGTGGCCGGCATGACTAAACACCAAGGGGCATGGAACGCTGTTACCTTCCCACTGAAGTGGTACCTATTTATCTACTTGCAATTTCTTGCTTTCCAACTGCTAGGTTGGCAGAAGCTGGAACTAGAGACAGGAGCTCACTCCATCATGCGGCACCCGGGTCTCAAACTGCTGAACTACTGCCCTTCCACAGCCTGCAGTTCAGCGTCTTAACCACTTGAGCCACCGCAGCTCCACAGTCAACATTAGATAAGTTAATAAACAGAAGTGATGGCTTCACAAGCACATTTGAAGATGGCTTGAAGGTTCGGTCCTGTGAAGGAACATCCAGCAGAGCAGCTACATAGCCTGTAGGCAAGGAAGAAATCAAACTTCTATTTTGATACTCTTCAGATCTTAAGGTGCCATCAGCTCTTACATGAGCCCTCTCTAACAGCTGCTGATAAAATCCGGCAGGTAGCTATGTTGGTCTGAAGCAGCAGAACAAAGTTTTAGTCTAGTGGTACCTTTAAGACCAACAAAGTTTTATTCAAGGTGTAAGCTTTCATGTGCACACACACTTCGTCCTCCCATGGGAGGAAAAGGGTAGTCAGTGCATGGATCTGGGATACCAAGAACTCGGGGATCCTGATCTACTTCCACCCTAAAACAGGAGCCCTGTGTCATCATTTTATTTTCCTTTCTGAACATCTCTCCATGGTAATCTCTCCACAGCCAGTTGAACACATACTTCAGATAAATGCTAGCAAATCAAGAAACTAAGTAGTTGGGGCCCCGGTCACACGGGCCGGATATTGCGGGGGGGAGGCGTGGCTAATTGCCTCGGAGGAAACTAACGCACGGACGCCCAGTCTAGGTCCCGTGGTTAGGGGGAAGATGCCGAACAGATGGGTATCCTGCAGCGCGGCCCAGAAGTGCATGCGCTGTTGGGCGCTGTAGCGCAACCTGCGGAGACGGGCACTGGATGCCACATAAGTCCACCCGAAACGCAATCAGACGCCCGCCCTTGGCCTGCGGTTTCCGGAAACTAGTACCTCGGAGATACTAGTTTTTTTACTCCGTATCTTCGGTGGGAAGCCTCGGGTTAGCCACGGGAGCTCTACACTTCCCAGATGTTGCGGTGTGATCGCGCCCGGAAAATCCGCCTACCATCCATATTGTCAGCGCGGCAAATGCTCCATGTGACCGCAGCCTACATCTGGTTTGTGATGCCTCCCTTGGTCATGCTTTCTGTCAAATGACTGAATTCAAAGATGAACTATCATACCAGATACTGGATAAGATCCCACACAATATATACATGAGACACACTTCTAAGTGGCGTAATAATGCTCTTTCTCCTTCCTGTGGAGCTGGAATGTTGAGATCTCATACTCAGAGAATGTGGGTGCTTACCACATGTCTGCAACACAAATCTCCTCCTTTCTTGATTCAGTTGCAAGTATAGATGGATACTCCAACTTTCTTGCCATTTCCAGTCCACCCATATAAACCCAGTTACTACAGTAGCATCACATCATTGCAATTAACACCTGCTGACAGTGCTACTGAAAATTCTCTGCAGCACCAGCAGTTACTTAGCAAAAATATGAAGGCTTATGTTAAACTTATGCAAAACCAAGATGAATAAAATAATCCAGTGCTGCCAGTTTCAGAGTCAGTGTTAGGAAAGGCCTTCTAACTCTCTCCCCCTCCTTGCCTGTGTGATTATTATTTACTCAGGGGCAAACCTAACCCCTATTCAAGCAACCTGCTATTGAATAGAACCACTACTGCCCAAAGTGGACTAGCAAGTACTATCACTATCACTCCAACCTGCCTCTGACGCAGACCCTGTTGCAGTTGCTGACTTACCTCTATGTATCACTGCTACTTCAAGGACACCACCTCCTCCCCCTTAACTATTCAGTATTACAAATTTGTGAACTGCACAAGCCATTTGGACATCCACTCTTTGCCCTTCTGGTGCAACATACCAGAGGTAGATGGGAGGAGACTGACTTCTGCATCTTTCCTGCACAGTGCAAGATTTGGGTCTTAATCTGTGAAGAAGACCACGAGTTCTTCATCAGGAGATCACCAGAAACTTTCAACTACTACTTCTTTGCTTTTGTTTCAAATGCCATCTACAAAGGTGGAACACTTTTTCAACACCAAGAAGCACACCAGAATGCATTCATACTTTGACCTACAGCTACATGAACTAGGGACAAAATTCACTGAAGCCTGGGATTTTCAGAACACAAACCATCAGAGTTAAAGGTTTACAGCCCTACAAATCCAACACCCGGCTTCTAGACGCAGGACCCAAGGCTGACCAACTGAACTTCTCTCTAAACAAACACACAGTTGTAGTCTTATGATGATCAACTGCATTATGCTTACTCCAGATGATCCAGGTAACTTTCTGTGATTTACTTCTGAACAGAGGTTTTTGGGGTCAAGTTGGTAATCTTTGTATAGCCACACTTATTCAGCATACAGGCCACACATCACATTTAGCTTGTATCTCATAGTGAAATAAGTATCCATGCTGTCATCAACAAGACCTCTGAGAAATAGGGAAGGAAGATTAACTTTTGGGTCAGGTGGTCTGCCAGTACAACCCTATGCATGCTTACTCAAAAGCATTTTATTTCAGAGGACATCTGGTGGAAGACAAGTTGCTTCAGCAAACCTGGCTGCCTTGTTTGTATCTTGGGTGCTATTTTAAATCTTGACCATTATCTCGTTTTTATAGGCTTGCCACTTGTTGCTCTGCTAGCCACAGTTACACTAGGGGAGATAAGGCAACATAACTCAATTAACAATCGGGCTTGCTCTCAGTTAGGTGTTCTCAGGACTGCACCTTTCAGCTACACTCCTACGGGGGCAGCTTAACCCGGGAGCAAGCACTTCAGAACTTGAGGGCTTACTTTACAGGGAGCCGCTTCTACCAGTGACCTGAGAAGCCTGAATGAAGCCGTTTCCCAAAGTCTCCTCTTCCCGTCCAACAAACTTCGGCCTTAATCAATACCCCTCTCTTGAGAGCTTTTCAACGGCCGCGCCACACTGGTTGCCGTGGCAAGCACAGCATCCCTCCGCCTCGGCCCCTCCGGGACCAGCGGTCCGGTGGCCTCCCCCCGTCCCTGCTCAGCCACACGTCCGGGGGTCTTACCGTCTCTTGGGGAGGGTGCTCGGGGGAGCCGCCGCCGCCCGCCCTCGACACTGACTGGCCGACAGGTGGGTCTCCGGAGCGCTGCGCAGGTGGCCCAAGAGGACCCGCAGCCTCCGACGCGCCGCGGCCTCGGAGGAGGCGACGCCGCTTCCACTACAGCCCGGCCCCGCAGCCGCCGCCATTGCACTTCCGCATTGCATCGTCAAGCAGCGTCGGGTGAAAGGTCATGCACGGCCCCAGCCGACTTTTATAGGCTCTCCCCCTGACCAACGTCTCTCCCTCGCTCGCGCGCTCGCGCGTGCGTGTTGACGGGGTATGCGGCGGTGATTTTCGCGCCAGCCTTCCCCGCCTCGCTTGGGCGGGGGAAGAATAACCACGCCCTCTGGTCTTTGGCCCCGCCCCACGGATCTGGTTCCCGCCCCTCAGGTTAGGTGTGGCGTCCCGTGGTTTTTATGGTTTCCCTCAAGTCAGTTTTGCAGGGTCTTCGAGCCAAACCTCCCCAATAATAGCTTCAGGGGTACAGTACTTAGCTGTAGTGTCTGCTGGACTCTAGCTTCATTCTCACATCTCTTTGTTAACTCTTGCATTTACATGCTAGTTTGCTGCCATTCATTGATCTTACCGGCCACCTGATCCAATTTCAGCTCTACATTTTGCATCTTGGCTCTGAGTGGCTCTTCCTAAGGGCTGTCCCACCCACTCCTCTCCCACCCCCCCTGTAGGTAGCCCTTGAGGAGATTTTATTCCAATTTGTCTGAAGAAGTGTGCTTTGTGCATAAAAGCTTACACTTGGAATAAAACTTTGTTGGTCTTAAAGGTGCCACTGGACTGAAACTTTGTTCTGCTGCTTCAGACCAACACTGCTACCCACCTGAAGGGGAACCTCCACTGTCTGCTTAGCTGTCACAGTTCCTGAGCTGGCTCAAGGAGACAATATCCAGCCAGTGCTGTGGGAACTGTACTGGCTGCCTATTGAGTACCAGATCCGGTTCAAGGTGCTGGTAAAAAGGTAAAGGATCCCCGCCTTGCTCGAAAGCCAGTCGAATCCGACTCTAGGGTTGCGGTGCTCATCTCCGTTTCAAAGCCGAAGAGCCAGCGCTGTCCGAAGACGTTTCCATGGTCATGTGGCCGGCATGACTAAACACCAAGGCGCACGGGACGCTGTTACCTTCCCACTGAAGTGGTACCTTTTTATCTACTTGCAATTTCTTGCTTTCGAACTGCTAGGTTGGCAGGAGCTGGAACTAGAGACTGGCGCTCACTCCGTCATGGGGCACCCGGGTCTCGAATTGCTGAACTACTGACCTTACATAGCCGCCTCTCCCCATATGAGCCCTGCAGGAACTTAGGATCTATTAATCAACATCTCTTGGTGGTTCCCAGTTCCAGGGACATCTGACTTGCCTCAAGGAGGGCCAGTGCTTTTCCGGCCCTGGCCCCTACCTGGTGGAATGAGCTCCCATTAGAAAGCAGGGCCCTGTGGGACCTAGTACAGTTCCGCAGGGCCTGCAAGACAGAGTTCTTCCACCAGGTTTTTAGTTGAGGCAGCGGGCACCCACCTCTTGACTGGCCTCCACTCGAGTAACCTCAGATCCGAATGGCCACCTGGGAACCAACTGTTTTTGCTGAGAGTTGTTGAGGCACCGGTATTTTTATATTAATTGCTGTTTTAGATTTGTCTATTTGTTATACTGTGAATTTTATGATGGAACCTGCCCTGCGCCTGCTTGTGGGGAGGGCAGGATACAAATCAAAATAAATATGGATAATACACCAAAATTAATCATTCCGTTTTGTAGACGCAAAATAAAACAGGAGGCACCTTACAAGACTAACATTTTTTCCAGCATCAATTCTTCCAAACCAGTTCACTTAATCAGATGCATTGAAGTAAATCCATTAGTTAGGCAGATGCATTTATACTCAAAGTTCCAAACAACGGAAATGGACAAGTGCGCTGTTACAAAAGGTTCTTTTGGGGGGGGAAATCAGTCAATTGTTGACAGCTTTCAGGATAAATATATCTCCTCAACAGATGTGTTGGCAGAGTTTAGATATGCAGTAAAGCAGGGCACGAGCTGTTTAAAGAATGAAGTCAGTTTATTAAGAAGAGAATAAACTTTGTAAGAAAGAGGAGAGAGAAAGATAAGTCTTACTGTCTAACTGGCTAGGAGAGAGTCAGAAACCAACTGTTCTCAGCATAGGGTTGCCAGTCCCCAGGTCCCAGTGGAGGTTCCCCTGCTTTTTGGGAAGACCTTGCCCCCAAACAGCCACATCCGGGCACAACATCCCCAACGCGATGACGTTACCAGGAAGTGATGTCATCGTATCAGGGATGTTGCATGCAACGCTCTGGTTTGAGGGCAAAACTCTATGGTAAATCTGGCCTAAAACCATAGAGTTTTGCCCTTAAACCAGAGCGCCACCACCACAATGACGGCACTTCCGGGTAACGTCATTGTGTCGGCAATATCACAGAATGTCCCTTAAATACCCCTGCCAGTGCAGGAAGGGGACCTGGCAACCCAATCTCAGAAGGAGTGGGAAAGAGCCATAACTGAGCTAATCAGGAAACAGGAAGGAGACTATTTGGAAAAAAACCCTAGTCTCACTATGCTAACTAATTTCCCCTCTGCTGCCCCCTGCAGAATGTTCTTTTCATCTTCTTTATCTATGCACAATAGACTTGCATATTCCAACAAGATGTACACACAGTTCATCTGGTGAAGTGAGCTCTGACACTAAAACTTACACTAGAAATTTTTTTTTCAAATGACACTGACTGCTTTTACCCTCTGAGATTAACACAAAACCACAAAGAAAGATTTAGGTGGGTAGTCGTGTTGGTCTGAAGCAGCAGAATGACGTTTGAGTCTATGGCACCTTTGAGACCAACAACATGAAATTTGGCATAAAATCATAGAATTTTGCCCTTAATTCAGAGTACCACGGCAGCAATAATGGCACTTGAAAGGGGACTCCTCCCTACCTATTGTATTTCGCTAGATGACTTGTGAGTATATTTTATAGTGTGGATTATGTATTTTGTATCTTTCTTATAACAGACTTGTTGGGATTTGCTGCAGAACACACTTCTGTAAAAGGGGTGGTCTTCCACTAGAATATTAGGAGGGGGAGATGTGGAGAAATGCATTGTCTCCTGGATGGTTGGCAAGCAGCAAAAACCTTCCCTGTGGGTTTTACCAGTGTTTTTTTCTCTAGTCAGAGGAGGAAGTCCGTTCACTGGCACATCAGCTCACCAACGTACAAATGCTAATGACTCCAGCAGGAAAGACAGATAAGCCTTCCCCCTTTCTCTCCCCTCTTCAGGCAGAGAGCAGAGAGTTGGAGGTGTAAAATGCTAGATAGCTTCAGGAAGCTACTTCCTGGAGACAACAGAGAAAGAAGCCTTGACCTGGGCTGACCGGGGTCAAGTGGGTAGAGACAGAGAATTAATAAAACTTCTTTCCAAGGAGAAGTTGGTCTCTTTTTTCCTGTGGAATGCTGAGCTGAACAGACCTCTTGTTTGAGGTTGGGAGAAAGCAGCCATTTTGGACCATGGGGCTGCTGGCCGAAAGAGCTAGGAGCAAGCTTTAAGGTAATGGTAGAACTTTAGAGAACTAGAACACCTAAGATAAAGAGCCTGCCCTATATTTTACCATCAGATAGGGTATGTACAGAGGAAGGGACAGAGGACTCGTATTTCTTACCAGTTGTTTTTATTCTTCCTTGCTTCAACCTAGTGTGGTGTTAAAAATATGCTTGTAAACATTGCATTTTAATAAATATTGTAAACTGTTGATGCAAGGAGCGGTCCTCTGTACCACATAGACCCTCACTGTTTCAGACATGCTATTTTAAAAGGGAACCCCAGGAGGGGGGGGAAGCAAGTAGTTGGCAACTGGCCATTCCCCCAAGGGCACACAAAGCATTAAACTAGCCCTGTGGTAGCCAAGCACTGGGCTAGCGGGAGACACTGAGGCAAGGCCTCTGAGCTTGGAAGGGTGGCTGAGGACCCTGATCCCTTCAGTGGGAAACCCCCATATTGATCATTTGGTGGTAGCAGCTTCTGGAGAGTAAAAGGAAAAGACCCTCCAGGGAGTTAGGAACGCCTAGGAGGGCAGGGCGGAATGGAGCCTGCGAGCCAGGGTAGGTCCATTCTGTCACATAAGGTATTAGCTTTCATATGCAAACTTATACTTCGAATAAATCTTTGTTGGCCTTAAAGGCATCACTGGTCTCAAACTTTTTTCCACTAAACCACAAACATGTTGGAGAACATTATGTTCATGGGTGCACCATTCGGCTAAGGAACTTTACACCCATGCCTGTTTATAGACTCAAGCTGTTCCTGCTTACATTTGTTTTCTTTGCTCTCCAGCCCATATCCAGGGCCAGCAATCATTTCCTAACCCTGAATCACAGTTCCTTGCCACATATAATACTAATGGTTCACTTTATTGCATTAGCTCAAAGCAACAGCAAAATTGCCACATATAATGATGAGCAGTGTTCCCTCTAAGCTGAGTTAGTGTGAGCTAGCTCACAGTTGTTTAGCCTCCGGCTCACACATTTTTGTCTTTGCTCAGGAAGGATGGCTCCAGAGCAAACTGATTTATGCAGCAGCCAAATCACTCGCTCACAACTTGAATGCCAGGAGCTCACAAAGTTGAATTCTTGCTCACGAGACTCCACAGCTTAGAGGGAATATTGATGATGAGGTCCTAAGCCATGCTCTTGATTTCCAATGAAGACAAACATAAGTTAAAGCAGAAATTGCGGTGGGGTTTTAACCATCTGTCCATCCTTGTGTTGTCACATATAGCCTCTTCTGATGCAAAAGAAGCCCAATGATCTTGACTGTATCTGTTTAAACTTCACAAGCAGAAAGTTGACCAGGCCATTTTGAACACTTGTTCCAACGCAAAGTAGCCTGGGTCCAAGACAGGCACATTTCATTTATTTATTTACAAAAGTCTGAGCATGTATCTTGAGCTCTTGAGCATTACACATGTGATCATATTTTTGTAAATAAATAAATAAATATGCCTATCTTGGATCCAAACTTTTAAAATGTTTTAAGAAGTATTCAAAATGGAACCATACTCCTTCTGATCATTAAGTTTAAGCAGATACAGACAAGATCATTGGGCTTCTTTTGCATTATATAGGGACTAGGAATAAGACCCGTTGTGGAAATAAATACAACAAGCTCTAGAAAGAGGCTCTGGGTG